TCCTTGGTGAAATCCGGGGCTATCAATACGGAGTTACTTCAGAGGACAGTCTGTAGGTCCGCAAATGCCCTCTCTGCTGCGTCGGACCATTTGACTGGATCAGGGCCGTGGGCCTTCATTAAGTCAATTGGGAACTTGCCCTTGTGGCAAAATGGGGGATGAAATGCTGGTAATACCCCACCACCCCTAGGAATGCTCGGACCTGCTTCTTAGGACTCGGCTGGGCCAATTTTGGATGGCCTCTAGCTTATTCAGTTGGGATTTTACCAGACCTTTTCCTACCACATAGCCAAGATATTTGGCCTCCATGAACCCTATGGCGCACTTGACAGGGTTTGCCATAAGGCCAGCTCACCCGAAGTGGGTTTCCCAGTCTGGGGTATGAATAACCACGTAATCCAGGTAGGCTGCAGCATAGCTGTCATGGGGGCGTAATAGCTTGTCCATGAGGCACTGAAAGGTAGCTGGGGCCCCATGTAGTCCAAAAGGGAGGACAAGTACTGGGGATTATCCAGACAGTCCACTAGTTTGTCTATGCAAGGTATGGGGTATGCATCAAACTGGGATATCTCGTTTAGTCGGCGGAAGTCATTGCAGAACCTTGTGGTGCCATCAGGTTTGGGCACCAGCACTATCGGGCTGGACCACTGACTGTGGGATTCTTCGATGATCCCCATCTCCAGCTATTTTTTTTTTTTTTAAACACTTCTGCTTTTATTTCCTCCATTTTGGCTGCTGGTACCGGGTAGGGCTTCACTGTTACTCTGGACCCGGGGTTTGTGATGATGTGGTGATATGTCTTGGTTGCATGACCGGGCTTTGTCAAGAATACATCTTGGTTCTGGATGATCATCTCAAATACCTCCTTCTTCTGGACTGGCGTTAATTCAGGAGACACCCTCACTTGTTCAGGGTTTTAGTCCACTGGATGCAGGTCTTCTTGAACAGCTGCACATGCCTCTCGGGCATGCCAGGGTTTCAGAAGGTTGACATGGTTTATTTGCTCTAGTTTTCAATGTCCCGGTTGTCGTACCTTGTAATTTACATCCCCTACGTATTCAACTATTTCATAGGGTCCTTGCCACTGGGCCAATAAGCTAACTTTCTGCCGTGGGTACTACCACCACTACTCGGTCGCCGGGTTAAAACTGACGAACCTTGACTTGACGGTTGTAGTAAGCTCGCTCAGCCTCTTGGGTCTTTTCTAGGTGCTCCCTCACTATGGGAGTGACCTGGACTATCCGGTCCCTCATTTGTAGCACATGCTCTATTACATTCTTCCCCTCACTGGGTTCCTCCTCCCAAGTTTCCTTGGCTATTTCCAAGATGCCTCAAGGGGGCATCCATATAATAGCTCAAAGGGGGAGAATTCGGTGGAAGCTTGGGGAACCTCATGGATGGTGAACATGAGGTACAGTAATAGGTTGCCCCAATCTTTCCCATCCTTGCTTACCACCTTTTTTATCATGGCCTTGAGAGTCCGGTTCAATCTTTCCATCAGACCATCGGTTTGTGGGTGATAGGGCCTGGACATGGAGCAGGGAACACAGGTCCTTCATTAGCTTGGACATGAAAGATGTTCCTTGGTCCGTGAGGATTTCTTTTGGTAGCCCTAACCAGGTGAAGATTTCCATGAGTTCTTTGGCAATGCTTTTGGAGGCTATGTTTCATAGGAGGACAGCTTCTGGATACCTGGTTGCATAGTCTAGGATGACAAGCACATACTGGTGGCCTCGGATCGTCTTCTCTAGTGGCCCCACTAGATCCATGGCGATCCGCTCAAACGGAACTTCGATGATCAATAGGGGTACCAAAGGGGCTCTTAGATGTGGACGAGGGCTGTGCAATTGACATTTGGACAGGAGGTGCAGTACCACGGACATCCTCATGTACCCTTGTCCAGAAGAACCTGCGCAAGATTTGCACCTGGGTTTTCTCCGCCCCCAGGTGTCCTCCAAAAAGGTGACTGTGGGCAAGGTTTAATATTGCCCTCTGGTGTTTCCAGGGTACTAGGAGCTGGTGTACCTCTTGCTCTTACATGCGCACGACCTGGTACAAGAGGTCCTTCCTGTGTCTTGGGGTCCTTCCTTTTAGTAGCCCAGGTCTGCCCACCTACACAGGCGGCCCTTTGTCCTTGTAGCAGGATTCGAGTACCCAAGGCCTTGGCCGCCCTTCTTTCCCTTTTGGTCTTCCAGCCTCCCCCAGGGGCATAGTTCCTGGGATACTTCCGCGAATATTGGGGGAGAACGTTCTGCTGTGGAGGCCTCCCTCAGTTTGGGGAGCTCCTCTTCCTCTCACCCCTCCACTGGGAGCAAGTTTCCAAACCCGGGAAAATCTCTTCCGACGAGTAAGGAATAGGGGAGGTGTGGGACCACCCCTACCTTCATCTAGTGACATTTCCCTGAACTTCTAGCTTTAGTGGTATGATGGGGTAGTAGCTAACAGTCCCATGGACACATGTAATCCCTGTACATTTAGCCTGCGTTAACTGGCTGCGCTTTACTAGTTTACCTGAGATCAGGGTGATAGCGCTCCCGGAATCTATGAATGCCACGGTTTCTACCCTATCTACCCTTACTGGGCTTGTATATTTGTGTGGGGTGACTGCGACCTCCACAAGGTTGAGGACGGAGCATGGACTACTCCAGTCCCCGATATTACTGTGCATGGGCTCTTTGAGGTTGGGGCACTGGGCTGCTAAATTACCAAGCGCCTACACCAGTAACACCTATAATTGTTTCTCCTGTCCCATGGGTTAGGAGGCTTAGCCTCGGAGTTTCCCCACCCAATCCATTCCTATCCTCCTGGATTCCTGTCTGGTCTTCGGCCTCCCTCTTCTTCCACCTAGCGGTTCCCGGGTGTCTGGTCACCTGAACTCGCAGGATTGGCGTTAGTCGCCTACCTCATAAGGGGCCTTCCCTAGGTAGATGGGTCAATTCCCTGGCCATCAATAGTGTCTCTACCAGCACGATTGTTTCGTCGTAGGTGGACGGGTCATGCTGGCCTACCCATGCACCAAGGTCTGGCGGTAGGCTCATCTTAAATTGGTCTATGACCAACATCTCCCAAATTTTCTCTGAGCTGCATGCCTCAGGCCATAGCCACTTCCGAGCAAGGTGCATCAGATCAAACAGCTGAGATCTTGGTGGCTTGCTCTCCTGATACTTCCAATCATGGAACTTCTGGGTCCATGGATCAGGTCAGGATCTCCATCCTCAGTCGGGGGTAGTTAGCCGTGTCCTTGGCAAGCAGATCAAAATAGGCCTTCTGGGCTTCTACGCACAGAAAAGGGATGAGAATGCTGGCCCACTGGTCCTGTGGCCATGTCTCACGCTGAGCAGTTCTTTCAAAAGACAGGAGATATGCCTCTATGTCATCCCCGGCCGTCATGTTTGGTAGATGGCCTGCTGCCCTTAGGGTTTGTGTCCCTCCAGGCCCTTGGGTTCGGTTGGAGGGGGTCCACTACATCTCGGAGGAGAGATCTTGGGCGGCTTGGTTCACTAACAACCTGGTTGGTTTCTTGTTGTAATCGGGTAGATTCCTGCATTCCTGTATATGGGTAGCCTCCTGCTGGGCTACCGTGGCTTGTACCAGAGCATTCACCAATTCCCCCCCACCCCCCGACCAGTGGCAGAGCACCAGCCTTGCCTCGGGTGCGGGAGGTCCTGCGCTTCTAGGCGGTTAGGGTTTGCCTCAGAGGTTTCCTGTGACCCTCAATGTAGCCTCTCCCCCATCCTAGAGGCAAGGGTTACAGCTTACTGAGTCACCTTCATCATCGTTCAGTCAACGGGTTTGGTTAAGAACCCTTTTTAGTCCCTGTCTTCCTTTTCAGGGTGTGTGTGTGTGTGTGTGTGTGTGTGTGTGTGTGGTGGGT